GTTTCTAACTCATATGTAAAATACTTACGCATGTACTATTTGTGAAAGGTGTTCCAGGTTCATTAGTTACTGGGGATGGTACAAGTGGAGCGGATGATGCATTTTCACAAGCTGAGTCTTCAATAGCTGATGGACAGGCAGCTGCAAGTGCTCAAGGAAAGAAGAATGGAGGTACAGCAAAGACTCAAGTCTCTGGTACATATAGCTCTTCTGGTACATTTAGTGCAAGCGCAATGACTTCAGATAGTGATCGTTCAGCAAATGCACAAGTTAGTGGAAGTGTTGAGGGTGCAATGAGTCAATCGCAAGGCCAGGGAGGTGCAGCACAATCACAAGCTCAGGTGCAAGTCAATTCAAAGAATGGTGGAACTAAAGCATCATCGCAAAGTGGAGGAATAATTCATCAAAGTCAAAGCGAAGTAAGAGATCAAGTTTTCTAATACCAGTGAAGAGTAGATTTTAACTTATCTATACAGGTTCAAGCAAACGATAAGGGAGGATTAGCTGATGCTCAGTCTAGCGGGCCAGGCCAAACATCATCACAAGCACAAATAGGTTTCCGTCCTAGACAAGATGGCACCGAATTAATTTCATCAAACGGTGGTGGGCAAGCTTCTGCTCAATCTGGTAGTCACTCAGGGCAAAGCCAGTCTCAAATACATGGCACATCCAAGTAAATACATAAGATATTTTTACTGACAAATTCAATTTATTAAATTACGTATTAAGATATGGCGTATCTTACCATGGTGCTGCACAATCGGCTTCAGGTACAAAAGAACAAGTGGCAACTTATCGTGAGCAAAACCGAGAATTATTTCACTCCATTAGCCAGTTTGGAAATGGTGATGCGTACGATTTTAACATTTAATATAATGAAGAATGTAATAACAGACTTTCTTTTAGTGTAACGGATCGTGTAGATACTCTATACAGTGGCCCCGCATTAACTGCTGAACCGGGACTATTACCCGATTTACAATTAAAAGCGTCAAAAACCAGTAAAGAAAGTAATATTCTTTAGATCACTTAAAAATTATTTTTTGTTAACAACTTTTATTTAGCAGCAATTAATAAAGTAAACAATGAATCAGGTACTTTGGCGGAAGATGAAGATGACGAAGAACCATACGAAGATTATGACGACGAAGACGATTATTATGAAAACCCGATTAAGATGGACTCAAATTCCAATACTCCCAAATCTGATGGAAAAGATAATAAAAATGAAACCCCAACATTACCCAGCACTTTTACACAACAATCTCCAACGCAAGTACAAAAGGTAGCGATAGCAAACGCTAATGATAAATATACAGTGGTTCAAAACCAAAATGGACGTGAACAAAGATATCCAATTCGCACTACAACACCAAATGTTCCAAGCGGTTTTCGTGGAACTGTAAATGTTGAAAAAAAATTCCATACAAAAGCACTTGAATCGCACACAACAGAAAATAATGTTGATGGCAACTCTAAAGATCATGAACACAGTAAAATTCCGACACCAGACAGTTATGTGACAGTAACCAAATCAGTTACTGGCAGCATGGATAATACTAAAAACCCACCGCAAGAGAATAAAAATTTCCAATCAACATATTACACAAAATCATCAACCTGTGGTTATTTCACTTTCTCATGCAACATTGTATATGGCGCCAATGGTCGAAGCAAAATCTGTCGTCCCAAAGCGCCAACCAATGGAAAATGCTAATGCAAGCCAATAAATTTCCCTAAAATTATATTAAAATAATTTACTATTAAATTACATTAAAATACATATGTTTTATACGTTTAACAAATAATAGAATAATAATTTAAACAAATGCTATATGTATGCAACATATTTAATGAAACCATCAAATATCCACACCCACTGCCTTAACTTTTATTCAACTTATTTTGTCTGTTGTACTGACAATTTTTGTAAAAATAAATTTTAATACATTCAAATAAAATCAAAACATTGTCATATATTTAATTAAAATTTTTAAATTTTTAAAAAAGCTATAATATTATTTACTTCTTTCCATGAAATGGAATCGAAGACGTATATAATATTAACTGGAGAGCAACAACCGACAGGACAACAGTAGCACTATTACCCTAAACAATCTTCTATTAATATATAATATATAATCATATAATCATATTTTTTAATAGTAAAATTCTTTAAATAATCAAATAATACATGTGTAGCCGCCGATATTCTCAATAATCACAGTAAGCTGGATTACAATTCAAATAAGAAAAGAAAATTATTTTCTGAGAAGAAGTTTCCAGTTTCCTGATTAAGGAAATAAACAGAACGTAATAAATAACTTTTAAATTTTTAGAAGGGTTTTCGAATAACAAAGAAAGAAATAAAGGACAAACACAAAAATTTATTTTTTAATTTTATGAAATTTGGCTGACCATACAACGCTGTTTCGAGTATTGCCAAGTACTCTTCATCAGTGGTCTTTGGGAATAATCGAATTTATTTAATTAGTTTATAGTCCGTATATAATTTGTTTGGGACTGCAAGTGCCAGGCTTAGAACTCGTGCCTGTCAAATTAGAAGCGATGACTAATCGTGTTTATCCACAAGAAGCCAAGGCTGCACAAACTTTCAATGCTCAAGTTCCAGGTTTTATTGTCACTTATTTTTATTTAATTAGTGACAACAACCAAAGCACTTGCCGTGCTTTTAAATTAGAACGAGCTTATAAACTACAGCTTTATTTTGGAAACACAAGTTCAACGAATTGAAAGTTTAACTTTTTGGGTTTGGCCTTATTCTTTATTTCTTTTCAAAGCTACTCTTTTTTGTAGAGACATATTGTACTGCATATTGTTTTACTTACTATATGTAAAGCGACCATTCTGGTGCTTTTTACAAAGAAGCTATGCTATGTTATTCTACAAATCCGCTTATTGCGGTTAGGAAAAGCTGAACAAATATATATTTTAAACATATTGTTCTTTACTTTTCACAAGTCTAATATTTGAATAAAGTATTAGTGTTGCTGTTAAGCTAGACTACTTTGTATAGGGACAAAGAACTTTTATAAATTTTTTAGAAGGGTTTTCGAATAACAAAGTGAAAAGTGAAAAGTAAAGAACAATATGTTAAAATATAATATTGTTCAACTTTTCCTAACCGCGAAAGCGGATTTGTAGAATAACATAGCATAGCTTCTTTGTAAAAAGCACCAGAATGGTCGCTTTACATATAGTAAGTAAAACAATATGCATTACAAAATGTCTCTACAAAAAGAGTAGCTTTGAAAAGAAATAAAGAAATAGGCAAAACCCAAAAGTTAAACTTTCAATTCGTTGAACTTGTGTTTCCAAAAATAAAGCTGTAGTTTATAAGCTCGTTCTAATTTAAAAAGCACGGCAAGTGCGTTGGTTGTTGTCACTAATTAAATAAAAATAAGTGACAATAAAACCTGGAACTTGAGCATTGAAAGTTTGTGCAGCCTTGGCTTCTTGTGGATAAACACGATTAGTCATCGCTTCTAATTTGACAGGCACGAGTTCTAAGCCTGGCACTTGCAGTCCAAACAAATTGTATACGGACTATAAACTAATTAAATAATATTCGATTATTCCCAAAGACCACTGATGAAGAGTACTTGGCAATACTCGAAACAGCGTTGTGTGGTCAGCCAAACTTCAATAAAATTAAAAATAAATTTTTGTGTTTGTCCTTTATTTCTTTCTTTGTTATTCGAAAACTCTCTAAATTTTAATAAAGCTTCTTTGTCACCATACAAAGAAAGCGTAGCTTTATAGCAACACTAATACTTTATTCAAATATTAGGCTTGTGAAAAGTAAAGAACAATATGTTAAAATATAATATTGTTCAACTTTTCCTAACCGCGAAAGCGGATTTGTAGAATAACATAGCATAGCTTCTTTGTAAAAAGCACCAAAATGGTCGCTTTACATATAGTAAGTAAAACAATATGCATTACAAAATGTCTCTACAAAAAGAGTAGCTTTGAAAAGAAATAAAGAAATAGGCAAAACCCAAAAGTTAAACTTTCAATTCGCTGAACTTGTGTTTCTAAAAATAAAGCTGAAGTTTATAAGCTCGTTCTTATTTAAAAAGCACGGCAAGTGCGTTGGTTGTTGTCACTAATTAAATAAAAATAAGTGACAATAAAACCTGGAACTTGAGCATTGAAAGTTTGTGCAGCCTTGGCTTCTTGTGGATAAACACGATTAGTCATCGCTTCTAATTTGACAGGCACGAGTTCTAAGCCTGGCACTTGCAGTCCAAACAAATTGTATACGGACTATAAACTAATTAAATAAAATTCGATTATTCCCAAAGACCACTGATGAAGAGTACTTGGCAATACTCGAAACAGCGTTGTATGGTCAGCCAAATTTCAATAAAATTAAAAAATAAATTTTTGTGTTTGTCCTTTATTTCTTTCTTTGTTATTCGAAAACCCTTCTAAAAATTTAATAAAGCTTCTTTGTCCCTATACAAAGTAAGTCTAGCTTAACAGCAACACTAATACTTTAACTTTTAAATTTAAATATAGCTTCTGTGTTTTTAATTCCGTTCAAGTACAGAAACCACGCTATATATTGATGACCCCGACGTGATAAGTTCGTCTGCTAATAAAACTAATGTTTTATACGTTGTTATTGTTATTAACATCACAACTGTTGTAATGTATACAAGAGAACTGCGAGAAGAACTCAACACTCGATTCATACTCGAATCTATACTGACTCGAAGCTTTCGAACTCTCTTTTTCGTATACTAAATTTTACCCAATTTAAACAAGTACTTATAAGTACTTACAAGTTGTTACAAGTACTTATAAGTACTTACAAGTACTTATGAAGTACCTATAATGATTAAAACTCTTCTCATATGATACTCATCATGAAAATGATTTATGAAGTAATTTATGAATCATTCAGGAGTATTACGTGTCATACGAAAGTCTTCCCAAAAAATTCTGCAGTCAACGAAACCCTATTTTGAGGATATAGCTAATAGGTTAGTATTTCGAGAAATGCGGATAATTAATTAGAATATATTGTGTTGAATATAGAATATTGCAGAACGGATAAAAGGTTGGTGGTGATCTATTAAATAAGTATATGTGTGGGTTAATTTAGTATGACCTAGTCTTAATCAAATCTATTTGGTCAAATATGTGAGTGAAAAATTGTAGTCATGTTTTCAAGGGGTAAAATTGGAATGAAAGATTTCAGACAATTTGATTTTGAAGACGGTGTTTATGTAACTGGAGATATCTCAGCTATTACGATTTTCAATAAGTATAAGTGGTCATGAGTATGAGTGGAATGGTCATGGACCCAACTCATAGTAAAACGTTTGTGGTAAGACGATAATATATTTCTGATAGCAGTTGTGTGAAAGTTCTGATTTGCTGTGTTTGATATGTATTAGATGGAGAATATAGAATCTCAATGCAAATTGCAAAATAATCTTTCTTATTTTTAATTATTCTAAGGGCTTTGTAGATATTAGTTTTGATGTAAATACTGAGGTGTAAGATGGAAGAAGTGAAGATTTAAGTCTTGTAAAGTCAGTTGTTATGCTAAAGGATGTAGCGATATCAAATTTTTAACCGTCTGTATAAACAAAAGAGTTTTTTTTTAGAACATTGTAAAGTTCTAGAAATTTTTTCTAATAGATAAATGGTTGTGTAGAGATTTTTGTGAAATTATGGATAGTTTTATTTAAGAAAGAGCTGCTAAATGTTCAGGGGAGATTGGTAAGATAACTTACAGGGGTAAGAGTAACGGTGATATTAGAGGTGTCTTTATCCTCTAATAGTTTTGATTTTTTCTAAGAATATGAGGGAATGTCTACTGTTTAGATATTTTAATGTATATATTCAATCAAAATTGCACACTGCTTACCTCCCTCCCTCTGACTAAGAATAATTTAGCTAGCTAAGTGCTAAGTTTATTGTATCCAATTCATCGATAGTCTGACTATACACTCCATATGTAAGTTTTTCGAAACTAAAGTTAGACCTAATGTCTATTATATACCAAAAAAAAAACATACTGATAAGTCCTTGTTAGGTTAAATTCAATTAAAGTACCATGTATTGTATACAAGAGCACACTTTAGCACAACTATAGTCCTATGCGATACCAAGAATAAAACTTTATAAGCCAGGAATGGACTTTATGTTATATCTCCCACAATCTTTAACGATTAAATTTTTTTTTATTTTACGACTAATTCTTAAAAAATTTAAAAAAAAACAAAATTTTTATATTTAAACATAAATTTTGCATTTTATTATAATTATTTTGTTTTTATGTTGTGTTAATTTTTGTTTCTATATATGTTTTTGTTTTTTATTTTTGTGTAATTACATGATAGTTTTTTAATTTAAAATTTTGTTTGTATTTGGGCAAAAATTTGACATATCATCATATCCTTGATAATTACTTGCTAAATTATAAACTTAAATATTAATTATTTGTTTTGTGTTTCTTTTATTTAAAGTGTAAAGACACTGAATTTCACAATTAATTTTTATTCTTTTCTTTATATGCCATATTTAATTAATTAAATATTTTTTATTTTAATTTTTGCATATATTTTTAAACATTTAGAAAATTTCTTCTACATTAAGAAAGATTTATTATTAATTATTTATTTTTTGTTATAACTTTTTTTAAATTTTTTTGTGTGTAAATCCTTTACTTATTTTTGCCAGCTATTTTATGCTAATCAAAATGATTCATTTTTTAGTTACTTATTTGTATACAATAATATTGAATTTTATTATATATGTTATTCAAAATTTGTTTTGCTTTTAAAAACAATTTAATATTTTTTTTATTTTATATTAAACAGCCATAAAGTCAAATGTTT